GGGAGCTACTTTATAAAATAAAAAATATTATATAATATAGAGGGCTAAAGAAGAAGTAATAATACCTAATTAAGTAAAAAGGATATAGTAATAATAAAAATATATAAGAACTAACTAAGTATATTAAAAATATAATATTAATTAAGATATATAAAGAACGAGTTTTAATTAGGTAGCGTACCCTAGCTCTTAATAAGCCTAATAATATAGCAAACTAATTATTAATAATAAAAAAAGGGGGCTATATAATTATAACTAAGTAATATAAACGTACTAATTACGAGCGGCTTTTCTAATTCTTAGGACCTATAAGAGGACCGCCCTTATATATAGAGGGGCCACCCTTATCCTTATTCTTAAGATTATTAAAAAAAAAGTAGTTACCCTATTATTAATAAATTTATAAATAATTAGCTATAAATACGGAACGTAAGCGAGGTAACTATACTACTTCTAGAATATTATTTAAATAGTATACCTTATTATAAATAGTATATAATAATACGATTATTATATCGTTACGGAATAAAAATATAATATAAGAAGAGCTTATAACTACCTTATTATTATTACTATTAATAACGGAGGTAAAACGGGCCTCCTTATTAGCGTACTTAAGTACCCTTTATATATTACTAATAGTAATTCTATAAGTTTATTAAAACTATAAAATAATATTAGTAACCTAAGTAATAATAATAATAGAGTAATAATAGAGTAATAAACCTCTAAATTATAAACGTTATTATTTAAAATAAGAGTAGTATTTTAAAAAGTTCGTATTATAAATTCCGCAGATTTAGGGACTTAAAATATTATTAATTAATATATAAAAAAAGTAATAGAGTAGTAATAGTACTAAGCGCTTATTATATTTTTATAAAAATAGTTCTATATAATATACTTTATATAATGTATACTAGATTTTAAAAAAATATTAAATAAAAGAGTAAACTAAGGGCTATAAATTACTAACTTAGCTAATTATAATACTTAATTTTTAGATTAAATACCTTATATATAACGTAAGTAAAGTAGGGGAGTAAGCGTACTTAACTAATTACGATCTTTTTAGTATTTATTTTTTTCTTCTTTTTAATAAAAGTTTATAATAGTTAGTATAAATAGCGTATAAATAGTAATATATATACGAAGTTAGGGTAAGTAAAGGGGATATTAAGCTTTTTAAATAAACGGCTACTACTACCGCTACTAGGCATACTTATAGTACTAATAACTAGTCCGCTACTAATTATAGTAACGTTACTAAAAAGAACTATACTTATATTAAAATAGAATTAATAATAAACATAGTATAACTCTAAAAAAAACTAACTTAAATATAAGGAGTATAAAAAATTAAAGGATTTAAAAAATATTTATTAGCTATAAAATTTATATAATAAAGAAGTAGCGTAAATACTAATAAAAATAAAAAACTATATATAATTAAAATAACTATAAATAAATAAAAAAAAGAAATTAAAAATCGTAATAATTTAAAAGGGGGTTAATATTAATAAATAAAAATAGGGTAACGACTACTTAAGTACCGGTAGTTATAAAAAACGGATTATAAATAAGAATAACCTAAGTATAGAATTATAAAGCTAACTAAATTTATTATTTAAAATAAGAAGTCTATACTCGGGCTAATAAACGCCGCTTCTACCTACCCTCGTACTATATATTAAAAAATTTTATAAATAAAAAATTAATATAGCGTACGTAAATTATAAATAGCTTTTAAAATAAAGCCTAGAGGAGGGAGTATTTTATTAGGCCTCGTTAATTAAACCCCGTTAGTTAAGGGATAGCTTAAGGGGTATAAAAAGGGGGATTAAGTAATAAAGGAGTAGTTTAAGTATATATAAAGCGCTAATAATATACCTCGAGGGAAGGGTAGATTTTAGTAATTTATCTTTTAGACCCTAATAGCAGTTGGCCTCTATGAGCTTCTTCCCTGTGTTATATACCTATTGATAGCCTCCGTGGTGCCTGCCCTAGCGCTCTTGCTCAAGGGACTCCTCGCATCTCTTAACACCATTTACCTTACCTTTGATTTATTCTTGAGCAGCAGAACTATCTCAGCACCTTGCGTACCAACTCATTTCGTGGCCATGCTGAGTAATCATGGAAGCCGGGAGGAATCGAAGGAGAGCCTGGAACGGAGGACGGGAGGTCCGAGGGGAGGTGCTGAAGCCTGGGCCGGCCTCCTACCTTCCACGTTCTCCGAGCGTCTCGGGCCAACGTGGATCACGTAAGGTAGCCCTGCGGCGAGTAAGGAGACCGACGGGAGCGTGGCGCCGCGACCAAAGACGTATGTGCCTAATGTGGAAACTTTGCTTCCCGTCCTGCTTGTTTCCTCGCTAAGGTATGTACCTAACGTAAGTTGCTCTTGAGGCTCGCAGGGCATTGCTGAGACCTGCCAATGATGATCTACCTATTAGTCAATTTCTCTTAACTTCAAATTGCTCCTACATTGCCTTGCGCCGAAATGTATGTGAGTTTGGCGACAATATTCGACTCTGCTATCTAATCCGGGTATTCTTCATGACGTACTGCCGAAGAGCGATTCATTCTTTTGCTACATCAGTATCCGTAGCAAAGATTTGGAGCAGCGGTGGCTGTTTTGGCGGTGGTCTTGCGTTTCGGGGCAGGAAGGGAATCATGTGATGTGGCTGTCAATGAATGACGTCGATGTGTGTCTTGACGTCATCTTTTGGGTGTCGCTCGACTATAGTCAATCCCCAACTGGTTCAATCCCACTGCTTCAAAGGTCAATGCATACAAGAAAGACCTCATCTGCTTTTATCTACATACTCGACTTGATTGTACTGTCCATTTACTTTCTCAAATTTTCCCCATAACTCAAAAGGAAAGAAACAAACGTATTTCCACACAATGTCTTCCCAAAACACCAACACCAACACCCAACAACCCGGCCTCATCGCCGGCCATGCCGAATACATCAAAGGCGCCGCTGAGGTAAGTTCACAGACATGCAACGCATTAAATTTCTCCTGCAACGACTAGGCGAGTAGGAGTACTTACAGAATGGAATCAGGCCGCCATTGGCAGCGTTACGGGCTCGCACGCCTGGACCTCGTCTGGAGAGCAAGATAAGGCGCACGCCGCGTCGACGATGAAGGCTGCGGGCGAGCAGCGCGATGCATCAACGCAGGGATATGGCAAGGCGGAGGAGATTGCTGGCAAGGCGTTTGGGTGTGAGGGGATGAAGACGGAGGGTGCTGCAAGTAAGAAGGAGTAGGGTTCATTGCATAAGGTACCATGATGTTCTATTACGATTGGGATTGTACGAATAAGATTTGATATTTGGATTACGAAAGCAATGTAAATAGCACATTCAACAGTGCTGCGCGTCTGGGACGACTTTGGATTCCATTTACTACCTGTGTCTTTTAGGTGTATGTAAGGTCCCCCAAAAGTCTAGGCCTCGAACCTGCTGAATCATCCCATTTGCTCCCTCCGCCTTATAACTCTTCTCTATGGCTGGAAAGTTTCTCAAGACGTTAATGATGCTCAGTCAAAGAAAAGGCCAGTATCCATTGGGCTTTCTGCAAGAATCGTAACGGTTGTTGTTTCCCTTTGCCACCTGCATCTTATTTATGACTGATGGATTCCCCAATGGCGTTCGATGATGGAGAAGAAAGTCTCAATCAAACTATTCACAAGAATTGCGACAAATTTGCGTCCCTATCTACAACGTCAAATACCTTCCTTGCATGCACCAGCCACCAGCCATCTAAGTTCCGACAGCTTCTTTCTCTTGCGGTAAGTCTTGGAATATTCAGCAATGATGTCAAGCACAGAGTCAACCATGGACATTCCACGAATCACGTGGAGCTCAACGGGCGGAATAAACTCCACTGCATCCTTCAAATCACTCTCGTCAATGATCTTGCCAAAGTTCTCGGGGACCTTGACACACAGGTCAAAGATGGCAAAGTCATGGATCCGCGCCACGGGGACAGGCCCGTTGAATTCTGCCAAGACCATCTCTTTGGCCATATGAACCACCGTCGTGAGCGGCTGCGGCTGCAATGAGCTCTTCTTGACAATCTTCTCTTCCTGGGCTTTGGTTGTTGGGGCACTTTCCCCGTTGCTGCGGGCTAAGGCTTTCATGAGAGTCTTTTCGCCATCTCGCGTAATTGCCTTTAGCTTGAAGTGGCAAAAAGGATACAAGGCCCAAAGCCTGGCGAGTGTTCCCGATCCTCGTGAGAAGCTTATCAACCATTCAGACCAGTATTCACAAGCCATACTTAACATCGAGAAGTAGCCGCAGTGAAGATCAACACGCAAAACATGCTCTTAAGTCTTAGAAAGTACACGGAACATACATGTCTTTAGATGACTTTTTATGTGTGCTTAATAGCTCCACTTACATTCGGTTCCTCCTCAATTTTATGCCATTACGAGAATCTGTTTCCAATCGAGGCTTGAATTATAATATTTCCCCAATTTGTCTTTCGCCTGAGGTTGTTGAACTAGACCCGCTATTACTGGCCACCTCTGAAGAACCGGATACCTTCAACCACCCACCGCAAGGGCCAAGACAATCTCTTAAGGGATTTTGACTTGGAGGAACTCCATGCAGAGTCACGCGTTGGTCCATGGATATTTGCATTTTGAATAGATTAAGTGGTGGCGGGCCACGCTTAGTAGGAGCTGATTTGGCGCCAATCTTCGAGTCGGGCGTGACGGTATAGCAGCCGAAGGCAGCATCTCAAGATCAATTTGATCCGGAGCTAATAGGACGAAGTTTATAACTTTATGGGAATCATACTATTTCAAGATTTTCATTATGCCTACGGTCCTAGTCTGCCTGTAAGGACTGGCTCCAGTAGGAAACCCTTTAACCCACCATGTTCAATCGACTGCCCCATGAATAGAAACCAATTCGCTCTCTGAAACTCCTAGTCCTCAACGCCACCACCTAGCAAAATGCCTGGTATTTTCCAAAGTTCCCGTAGCGCCAATTACCACCCGCCATTCTGCTTGCGACGAATCTCCTGGTCAAGCTGGTCCTTCATATTCTGGCGTCTCTGGATCTCGTCATCGAGGCGGTCCTTCATGCGCTCCCTGTTGCGAATCTCCTGGTCGAGTCTGTTCTTCTCGGAGTAGTCGCAGTTACCGCCGCCATTACCAGAGCTGAAGCCACCGCCAGAGTTGAAGCCACCACCGTTGTTTCCGTTCTTGTATGCTCCGCCGTTTCCGAATGATCCGCCGTTGCCATATGTGGCAGCAGCGTTTACATTTTTGGCAGCTTCAGCTCGGGTCTCGATGGAAGCGACGGAATCGACTTCAATGTCTGGGACGTTGCGACCACTCAACAGTGGTGTTGCGATAACGCTGGAGATGAGGGTGGCGATGAAGAGGTTCTTGATGGCAACCATTTTCTTGGAGTTATAATAAGCCGAGATGCTCGAGGCGAAGTGTAGGAGGATTTGATTAGTTACGGAGATGTTTCTAGGTGAGGTGGTCTTGAGTGAGATGAGCTTGTTCGATGAGGCTGCTGATCAGAAACTGTCGATGAAGGTGGAAATACACTCTCCTTATGTACTTCTTCTGTTCTTAGAGTCAAAACCACTGATGCCGAGACCGACACATCAAAATCTCCCCGTTTAGTCTTTTGACTAGGCAGAGTACGTTCAACGCTATCATGCACATCGAGTGGCCTTGGCCGACAAGCTTCGGCATGGTGAGGTAGGTGACACCATCACAATTCGGCCGCATGCCATCGGCGGTAACCATTTTTCTCCACTTGTTGCGAGCTACGAGCGCGACCACGAAAGTTTTCATCTCCGGTATGCCTTGAGGGAACTGGGCGTTGGGCAGGCCGACGGCACGCTCGGGTGCATACAACATCACGCCTCGCTCGGACCGTTGTCGTTCGTGAGTTGCCATTGTGCCAGTAGCAAGTTCGGATGAAGCCCTTGGAGTTGCTCATGGCTAGCCAGAAAGCGAAAGCCCGTGTGCGAGGGGTTAAGCTTTTTTTCTCTGGGCACAGCCAGATAATAGACCAACACAGTTAGTTATGGGGTGACGACTGCAACATGGAGGCTCGCGACTCAGGCAGGATGCCGGTCGACGACCGTGCATGACTCCCGCCGACAGATGGAAACGAAACTGAATAAGACTTGGCAGGTAGGGCTGGCACATACCAACGGGCTGCGCGCAGCACACGTTCTCTAGGGGGGGGAGGGGGGGAGACAGGATGGGGTTAGAGCAAACGAGGCGGAAACTTCGGCGTAGTGGGCGAAACGTTGATTCCCTTCGCTCGGAGCACCTAGTAGTCATACGCGGCAAGTGGCCGACATTTCTAGAAACACCACGCTAGTCTTCACAGGGTCTCTTTTGCCGACATAACTTGCATAGCCCAGAGCTTAACGGGTGATCGTCAGCGGTCTGGAAGAGGTCGATGCGTGACATGTTGGTTGGCGGGCATCCCACGCGGTCTCCGGTTCGATCGTAACTTTCCGTGGATAGTTAACGATAGCGAGGGCCTACCGACGAACCCGACGGGGTGGTAGAGACGGGAAGCCGTCGATCATCGAAGTGCGCTTCCGCCTTGGAGCCCAATGGGCGATCCCCCAACCGATTGCCGACGCGACCACGCTTTGCTACACGTTGACTTCGGCGTTTGATCTGCCCTGTCGGCGGGTAGCACTGAGGTGCTGCCGAATGTGCTCTAACTGTATGCTTATTTCGTAGTAAAGCTCGGAACCACACGCTATTCGCTGTCGGTTCACGAGTCCGAGATTCACCTTGCCCACTTACTTAGTACGCTGTTCAGGCGTGCTCGTTCGATTTTCTCCATAACTCATAATATAACACTTAGAACCATGCCTATGTTTTGTTCAGCAGGCGTCACCCTCAGCTTGTCCTTGAGAAAAGAGTCGACCTGCCAGATCGAGCTCAGAGTTCTGCCAGATATGCGTCTCATGCTTTGCTGTCATTTGACTCCTGTAAAGCAAGGCAGAGTTCCAGCTTCCACGTACGCGTCGCCGATGCCATGGAGGAGTCTGATTTGTTACCCCCCTGTCAATCCATTAGCCTCGTCCAATGCCAGTGCCCCAATCATTTTAAACACTTCTTAGCTCCTCGTTTGAGTCCTTGAAATCCCCGTAGTCCCCGCCTGTAACCCCGCCACTTAGACCACGCCCGCTTGGTGTCAGTTAAGCTTTTTTGTGTCTGGGATCAAGGGTCGTGAATTTGTCAACGCAACATGCCCGGCTAGGCGGTCGGCCGAGACTTACTATTTGCCCGGACCAAGAAATATTGTGTAGTAGTCGCCAATCGTCATGGGGATGCAGCTAAACATTCATTGTCAGTTCGACCAATTCTTGTACCACCTCAAGATTGTGCGGCAAATCCATCCACGCTTTTCAAGTTCTGCTAACTTTTCCTAAGCATTTTTTTTTTTGAAGCTGCAGTAGTCTGCCACAGCTGGCCGACCAAGTGTTTACCGCCATTACCAGGCAGGCAGCAAACTTATCTTGCCAAACGATCATACTAATCTGAATACACCCCTTTCGAAGCTTGCCAGGTTATGAATCTCCCGCTTTGGACATAGTTTTCCCTAATTAATTCAAGAAATCGGTGAAAAGTAGATCTCATCTGGTCAGAATCCCTGCGGAACATCGATCTCCGGTTCCTTGATGAAGAGTATCTGAAACTTCGACAGCCTTCAGAAGAACTATTCTGATTCCACACATTGGCACACTGGAATACACTGGGCGATTGAGCTTGTCTAGATGTAGCTTTTATGTGGCGATTGCCGAATTGGACAGAGCTGGGTGTGGCTTGAGCGATAGTTTGGCTTAACTACCTTAGTTGGCTATCATGTCTATATTTGTGTCTCCAACTCAACTCTCTATGCTTGCCTTACTGAAACTTTGTGGAGATTTGGGTCTCTCCACTTCGGAGTCAAAACCTTTCTTGGGCGGCACGTGGGCGGCAATAATGACATTTTGCCCCTCAGGGCATTTGCGAACTCACTAGGAAGAATCACACATTAAATCAAACCGTATGGTGTTTTCCCGAAACAACTCAACTTAACAGGGGCGACTGAATTTGAGATTGGATTAAATATAGATTTGTTTCAATAAAATGGATGACCAGAGAAAGATGTAGGTTCTTCGCATCAAGCAGAGCATAGTGATGCCATTCTCCTCGCTCCCAGCGCCCTACACCAGTATGAGTCTCAAGCCTCTTTGAGAGCTGTTAGATAGATGTAAGGTTCCACTCTAGGGCACCTCGCAACATGTCCATGATGAAGGGCGGTGGAGATGTAGTGAACATATAACCCCTGCTTGTGTATCGGAGCTCTCGAATCAAGCTCTGTGGTCCGGTGAGAAACCCCGCGGGCAAGCCAAAAATTCGGTTGAAAGATCCGCAAACCAAGACGTGAATGTTCGTCCGCGAGGGGAACGAGATGAGTTGCCTTGGGTCCAAGTATTGAGAAGTGCAGTGGAGGAGGATGGTCATGACGGACTCTGGACCTGTGATGGCAGCAATCTCTTCGAGGATAGACGAAAGCAGATGGTGTGCCGAATCCTCTCCAACGCGGACGTAGACCGTAAGACATAGCTTTCTGTTTCTTCGATAGAGCTTTCTAACCTGTTGTACAAGTTGAAAGAGATCGACGTAACCCAGTAAAGTAGGGGCATCCTTTTTTGATGCCATTGCAAGGCCATCCCGAACAAACTGGGATGCGCCTCGTTCAAACAGCATGAAATGCTTCGTATGTCCTATCAGAGGGCGTGCAAGCGCTGCTATAGTGGAAGCCAACCCGATAGAGGCGTCCGCATAGGTCAAGGCGGCTTCCATGCCCGTGGCACGAGCAATGAGGTCCTCAACCACAAGATGGGGAGGAAACGTGCCGCAGATCCATCTGGCACCGCCTGCTCCAATGCCATACTGAGCACGAGATCCATGACCTATGTCGAGAATTCGAGGACCGCAAGTGCTATCGAAAAGCTGCCTCTGGTCGCTGTGCGGTCCCATGGCAGCGTCCATCTTGATCAAGCTGCGTACCCAGTCAAAGACCTTGGAGGCCTCGTTGCAATCCTCCTCCCCATCGAAATCTTCTACTTTGGTCTTGAAGAAAGAACGAGATATCTTTCTCATCCTCCTCATACCAACGCTTGCTGCAGCGCGGATAACAGCATCAACAAGCCTGTTCACCTCCTCGTCTGTGAAGTCCGCCGAAAGATTGATTCGAACTCTGCTCTCCCAGAAAGGCACTGCTGGAGTGCAAACTGGTGTCGCCAGTAGTCCGGCGCATCTCAGGGCGTAAGAGAGCTTCGCAGAAAGGCTAGGCCTGCCGGTGTAGATAGGCAGAATCGGTGTACCGACGTCACCATAAACGAATATACCGAAGCGTTCCAGTTCCTCGCGACAGAATCGGGCAATTTCAACAAGCCGTTGGAGGCTACGACGGATTCGATGTGGCTGCCCCAGTACCCATAACGTCTGGACCATTGTCGAGCTAGGCAAGGAGACATTGTCCTGGTCGTCGAGGCCGTCGATGTGCTCACGGATGATGTCCTGAAAGACAGCCTTCCCGACGATTATGCCACCAATACCACCGACAGCTTTGGAAAGTGTTCCAGTGCGAATGTCAATCAGATCCCAGGGTAACGGGCTCTCTGGGTGGTGGTCGTTCCAGTATTCGAGGCATCCGCGACCCGTCTTCCCAAGAGAAAGGAAGGAGTGAGCCTCGTCGCAGTAAAGAGTGAATTCGTAGTCCTTCTTCAAACGATGTAGGAGATCCAGGGGGGGTACATCGGCTTCCATACTGCGGTGTCTTAAGTCAGTACCCAACCCACAAAAGGTACAAGATGATTTTCACAGACCTGTAAAGACCTTCTATGGCCACTATCACATTGACAGACTCATCAAAATACCCGCTCAGTAAGGTTTCAAGGTGCTCCATATTGTTGTGCTTGAACTTTCGCAAGTTTGGTGAGGGGGCCAGAAACACGCCGGTGAACATCGAGTTGTGGCAATTCTCATCCATGATGACCACAGTGGAGCAATCGATCAATGCCGGCAGCGCGATATAGTTAGATCCATATCCAGTGCTAGTGGTGAAGCAAAAGTCTGCTCCAAAGAAGTCTGCGATTGCAGGATTCGTTTCGTCTCGGAGAAGGGGAACAGCCTGTGTGTCGGACACCGGCAGTGCTTCCAAACACAGCCGCTGCAACTCCTCAGCCTGGGAAGTAGCCTTGTAGAAGCCAGCATAGTTGTGAGAAGCTCCGTTGACAAGATTCGTCACGGAACCCAGTGCGTCAGAGGCTTCGACTCGGCCGAGACATTGTGTGGTGAGAACACGATAGTTTGCGCCCCACCAATTGAAAAGGGGCTCGACGTAGTTGTAGGAGAATAGGCCTTTCTGGGAGATCGGCCTGCGCGTGCCCTTGTTCTCGTTCAACAGGACTCGGAGTCTTGTGATTGCTAATCGAACTAGCTCACGGACCTTCTCGGTGCTTGTCACACGCGGAGGTCGACGTGTCTTGGGGGCGGCGAGGGATGACGTGGTACTAGTCGAGAGACTTGAGAAAGTACGCTTGCGTTCCGAAATCTCAGAGACAGCTGAGATCGAGACAACGACACTTTTGATATCACCCATTTCTTGCCCAGAAACTTTCCAGTCGCCCTCTGAAGAATAGAATGTAGAGAGTGAGCAAGGTATGTATCGAAAGGCAGGATAGGTTGGGACGAGGCAGGCGATCCAAGTGCCGGTAGAATACTGCCTTCGGGGACACAGAGAGCCTTTTCTAATTATCGTGAGTTCGCCTCCCGGACGCGCACCCTAGATACGGTCGAGGCAGTGGAACACGGCACTGCTCCACGATACTCAGTGCTCGCAGGAGCGAGCGAAAGGGCCCAGGATCCATCCT